CGGGCCCGGCCCACCAGGGGGCCCGGCCGCCCCTGCGACCCTGGTATGCACCCACAGGGCCAGCCTCTTCCCCTGGGGGGCCCAGGAGCCGGCCACCTCAGGGCCCCCCGAGGCTGGCCCTGCTGTCACACACACTCCTGGGCGGGTGGCCGGTCGGGCAGGCAGGCGGGCGCGCGAGGGAGCACTCAGCATGCTTCCTCTTCAGCTCCCTCGCGCACCGCACTAATGCCGGTCCGGAAGACGCATGCTGAGTGCTCCCTCGCGCGCCCGCCTGCCTGCCCGACCGGCCACCCGCCCAGGAGCCCAGCAGCACCACCACTGGACCCCAGGGAATCCCCCCAGCACTCCAAAAGGTAAGGAGGCTGGGGGGATTATATTAAAAAAAACAAAAGTGAGTGTGTGTGAGTGTTAGTGTTAGAGTGTTAGTGTTAGAGTGAGTGTTAGTGTGAGTGTTAGTGTTTGAGTGTGTGTGAGTGTGAGTGTTAGAGTGAGTGTGAGTGTTAGAGTGAGTGTTAGAGTAAGTGTTAGAGTGAGTGTGAGTGTTAGTGTTAGAGTGAGTGTTAGAGTGAGTGTTAGTGTTAGAGTGAGTGTTAGTGTGTGTGTCTTAGTGAGTCTGTTTGATGTCTGTTAGTGAGTGTGTGTTTGTCAATGAGAGTGTATGTTTTGTAAGTGAGTGTGGGAGTGTGTATGTATGTCTGTCGCTGAGTGTGTCTCTGTTAGCTAGTGTGTATGCGTCTGTAAGTGAGAGTGTGTGTGTGTCTTCAGCACTTACCTTTCTCCAGCACCGGGCTCCCTTGGCGCTGGGGATCCCTCAGCCTCTCAGCTCCGAATGAGACAGCGCACGCATTCAAACCGCCCATAGGAAAGCATTACTCAATGCTTTCCTATGGACGTTCAGTGTGCTCCTCTAGCGGCTGTCAGTGAGACAGCCACTAGAGGCTGGAGTAACCCTCAGTGCAGTGGTGGATCCAGAGCCTGATCTCGGGAGGGGCACTTGTAGATTATTTAAATAAATAATCCAGACACAATAACTACTACAGCTCAGTGTAGTGGTTATGGTGTCAATAGTGCCGGGACCCCCTCCTAGAGTAAGTAGTCAAACCGTTTAAGAACAGTTTGACAACTTACCTGAGGTCTGCTGGGAAATGGGGCGGTAGTAGGGCATAGGAGCAGTGGTGTGTGTGAGTGGTGCAATGTGTAAGGGGTGCTGTGTGTGTGTGTGTTTGTGTGAGGGGGACAGTGTGTGAGCAGTGTGTGTGTGTGTGAAGGTTGTAGTGTGTGAGTAGGGGGGCAGTGTATGTCTGGGATGCAGTGTAT